TGTGGTTTCCAGACTGTGAAAAGTTCCAGTGGTCTGTTCATAATTGAGCCCAGTACACTGGAACGACAAACAAATACTGGCTTCTCTGTTCCCCATGATGTGTTATGAGTGGAATATTGAGCTGTTCATGAAATAACACAGATGAAAACATCTGCTGAAACTGCTGTTGATAGCACATGAAATCCTCCCAGATGGTTTACATTCAATGAACAGATGTATAAAATAATTGCCAGTTGTATTTTTGGTAAAATATAGAAAAAATAAGCTGGAAGAAGAAAAATGAATTCTGATGCTCTGAAACTACAAAAGTTTCTATTCAGACTTTGGAGCATTATATTATTAAAAAAAAATTACTATAAAAGAAATCTGCATGAGAATGCTTGGGGGCCTTGTGCTTTTCTAAGGGAAAATAAGCTTAAGATATAATTCAAGTTAAATAAAGACAACAGCAGGTGAGGTAAACCTCTGAATTCTCATAAAGATGGTCAGATCCCTGAAGTTTTGCTGCCTCACATCAGAAGCCTGGAGCTCCTGTTATATCATAAAAATGCTGAATGTGTTGCTAACAAAACTGTAGAAGGCCACGTTTTTTTCTTTTGCTTATAAAGCAATAAAGAAGTGATCGTAAAGTTAAGTGAAGGTGATGCTCCAAAGCAAACTTTCTGAGCAGACTCCTCATGAGAAATACAAATAAATTTCTCTGTTTGACTGGGATATATTCTCAGGAACAACTGAATAGTCGGATGGTGGTGAAGCGATGCTTCCCATTTATCTCAAATGACATCCAAACAAATCTGGTGCATTATCTAAAGCCTTCCTGTGGTTTGATGAGGTTAGAATACACTTAATGAAGACGTCCCGGTTGAAAAAAGGCTTCACACTGTTGCTGAAATAACATCAGCATGTGGATATATTAACCATGCTTTGGGCTTGTGATGCAGCTGGAGGTACATTCCCATAATACAGGAAACAATAGATTTAACGAAACATTTGGAGAGAAATGTCACATGCTCTTGAAAAAAGCAGAGGATCAGAAGAGCATGGTTTCTACAACAACATAAACAGTTGTAAATACTCTCACAATCTTCAGTGAACTACCTCTGGAGAAAGTGTTTTGGTTGCCAGAGTTTTCTTTTTAAATATCAAATCATATTTCTGCTTTGTAGTCATAATACTTGTATTGTAACTTGCTCCGAGCCTCAAGAGATCATGATTAAGCAACGTGGGTAAATTATATGTCACATCGTGTCCCAAGTTGGTTGTCAAGTCTAGTACTGTACAAATTACAAATATGTTCTGATTATCCATCAAAACCTTGTATCATAGCCACTGTGTTTTGGAAACATAAAAAGAAATAGATTAAAATAAATTAATATTAAAGAACCAGACAAAAATACTATGAAAAGCAAATGGTGTTTTAACCGTAGATTGTTTTATTCAAAATAAACCTTATGAAGACCTTCAGACTTAGCTTTCACATGAGGAATAAAAGAAAAAGCATTTTGTTTATGTGAAGAAAAAAATCATTTTTTCATTTTAGCATGCTATAGATTTGTAAAAAAGCTATTTGAGAGAGTGAGGGAAGAATGCTTTTTCTCAGCACCTTTTGACATTGCGCTCACTGATTAGCATTTATTCTTAGCAAATACAGACACAGTAATGGCTGTGTGTCACTTTCTCAAAGGCTGTGAGAAAGCGACTTTGGCACTAAAGAGGTACGGCCAGTTATCCAAAGATTCAAGATATTGGTATTTTAACCTAATTTGACGATTTTTCCCCAGTATGCTCTCAGAATAGCAGTACCATTCTTTCCATAACCGGTCGGCTTATTTTTGTATGATATTTCTCCTCTCTTTGGTGAGATTGCTGGGAGTAATCATTATGATTGGTTGCAAATGAATGCAGATTACTGTCTTTAGATATCCTGAACAAAACATCAAACATCCATCCATGTCTCAGTTGCTTATTCCTACCATTCCTATTACAATCATTAGGTCAAACTTTTAAACTAGCTTGAAATGAACTAAGCCTGCAGAGTTTCATGCTGACACTGTAGCTGGGAATCCACCAAAGAGCTTAACTAAAAAGATATTCTGCATTTCTTGTCAGACAGTCATGTTGGAATTCTGGATCCAGTTAGTTATTGCGGTTCAGATAATGGAATTATTCATGCCAAAATTTTGGCTCTACAATTTGGAACTTAGGAAAGATGTCATTACTCAATTCCATTCACAAGGTTGGCATGAAAAAGGGGGATTCAGGAAATGACATGACTGGATATAGGAAATACTTTTTTTGCATCTGCAACTCATTATCAATTGTTAGGCATTATATGTTTTTTCCCCATGCATCCAGATATTATATGGAGACAACACCCACACACATCCCTCCGAGGTGAATCTCCAGCTGTGAGTTTGGTCAATCTGCCAGTGAGAATTGATTCTAAAGGCACTATGATGGATACAACAAGCTCAAATAATTACAATATTTCATTTAATTGAATTTTTCTAATGAATTGTATAAACTCCAAGTCCATTTCCGAATTTTTACAGCTTATGTGTCCACACTAGACCACTTGCCAGACTTCTTGCTTTCTTTTTTTATGAGTTTTAAGAATATATATATTCCCAATTACTGGCTGAGAGCTGAGGCCAAACTCACCAGGGATAATGAAAGCAAACAGAGACTGCAATGACAGGTATGTCTGTTCTGAAGTCACAATTCTGTTTTGTTTAAAGTCTTCCAGGATCTGCGGTCAAAACATAAAACTAGATTTGTTGTTTCTTTCTTGGGTTTTTGCAACTTTTGACTCAAATATTAATAAGTAATGTCTCTCATATCAATCTGGGCCACGATAAAGTCTTTTATCAGCTGAATTGAGACGTTTTTGAAAAGTTGCTGGAGGGAAGCTTGTACTTGAAGCGGGGTCAGGCAGGGCAGAAGGGGAATGTCGACAGGTGCAGAGTGAGTGGGGGATCAGAGCTGAGGATGAGATGACGGAGACAGAGGTTAGGATCAGTCTAAGATGATTTGTAAGGACAGCTACCCCTAAATCATAATGCAACATTTATGGAAAAGAAAAAAGGAGTTATGGACACTTTAAACGTGAACAAAGTCCATGATCTGGTGTGGTGAAGTGGTGAGGATTCCAGAACTGGTTGCAACAGGCTGACCTGCGCTCATAATGTATACTGACCCGTCTCCCCACCAACAATTAGACACACAAACAGAAAGAGAAAGTAACAGAAAAATAAACAGTTGTGGCAATGATGAATTTCAGTACTTCAGCTAAATAAGAATGTTAAAGTCTGGTGCGCCAGATTTGTATATGTTCCAAATTATCCCAAATGTGTTCTTTCCTGTCTCATGTTACAACAAGGCCTTTGGGAAACTTGCCCAATTTAAAACATGAGGGTCCTCCTCTGTGCAGTTTCAAAGCACAACTGGCAAAAGGAATGAACACAACAGCTAAGCGACACATTAGTTTCAGGACAATTTTTACAGGATTGTTGCCCTGAACCTGGCATTCTCTTTAGTTGAACTAAATCATGAGGCTGTATAAGACCCCTCCCGGCATTGCAAAATCAAACCTTCTTAGAATTAAGGGAGAATGACGCTGCCTGGTTATTCAGTGCTGAGCCTTTGCTATTTTTTTTTAGTAGATGAAACAAAAAAAAAGATCAGATGAACACATGGTTGCTATGTAAAATAAGACAATGCAAAGTTCCCTAAAGTGGAGCTGTTTGAAAAATAAATCTGTTTAAAAATGAAAAAGTTTCAACACTTTTATTTCCTTTCAGACATATTAAGTTTCCTTTCAGAATGTCGATGTTGTTTATGTTTATGTTTGTGCGTTTAGCAGACGCTTTTATCCACAGCGACTTACAAAGTAGACACAATTTTACCGTTATCATGAATATGACAATAAGTTCTCTAGAGGAAAATTGGCCATAATCAATGGTGACAGCAAAGAGAAAGAGATGGAAGTGCAGAAGAGTAGTAGAGGGGTACAGAGGTATGGGTAAGAGTTAGGATAAGAGATGCTCTTGGAAGAGGTTGGTCTTTAGGAGTATCCTAAAGATAGATTCTTGTAGCGCTTGGTAGGTCATTCCACCATCTTAGAACAACACATAAAAACAGTCGGGATTGCCTTAAGCTTGGCGTAGTGACCGGAGTGACCGAGTTGTGACATAAGCCTTTGCAAGAGGGTTCAAGTAGACGGAAACCGTACCCTTAAGCACTTTGTAGGCTAGCATCAGGGACATGAATTTGACAGGGGTAACCAGTGAAGCTGACAATGCTTTGAATATACATGTAAATATCCTTTGTGAGAGATTGAACTCTTTCAAAATGTAGCTATAAAACTGAGTGACTACTCAGTGTAAGCCTTCACATCATTTAACGCACACCGTAATTGAAATAATCAGAAACTTTGTGCAGCCTCACTTCTTTCATTGAGACCCCTCCCGCAAATATTTTCCCTAAGCAATCATCCATCAAAAAGTATATTTAAATCATTTTGAATGTGTTGCATAATAGAAATATGTTTTATACAGGTATGTCTTTCACTGTTAGTAAAAGGGCACCCAAGCGATCCATATATTGTCATTTGTGTGAAATGCATTAAAGAATATAACATTCCGTTGTTTAATTTATTGAATTGGGGATTTCAATCTGCACATATTAGGGGTTTTCATTCTTTTTATTTAAAGGTTACCATGAAGACTGAAATCTACCTTTCTTTTAGCAGCAGTACATTTTTTTCAACTAGCAAGCCTTCAAACGCAAGATAAATGTAATTAATATGATTTACAGATGTATGTTGGCTACATGAAGTGTAATCAAAAGACAGGTCATGACTATATTTCAACTAGTAAATGAATGTTTTCTTCAAACCTATAGTTTATTTTAAATAGGACATCACTGTTAATGTTATTGATAATAATATTAATAAAGTACTTTGAATTGAATTTAGTTCATTTTATTCAGGCAGTAACTGGTCTGCGTTTCGGCGTCATTCAGGACCCATACGATCAACATGGCGGCCACTGGCTCGAAATCGGTTTTATTCGTGTGTTTGGGTAAGATGCGTCTTTTAAAATATAGCTGCAGCGATCATGTGACATAAACATAAACTGCTGAGAGTTTTGCATATTTTGAAATTGCAGTGGTTTACATGATAGTTGTTAAACCTAATAAAAGAGCTCTTGCTTTAACTTTCAGTTGGCTAATCCGCCCATGTCAATGAACGTGAACCACCGCATAAAGTTTCAGATCATACTGTTTTAATTAGATGACAACTTCATGTCAACCTGTTCCCAGAGGGATTTGCCATCAAAGGTTAAACGTTGTCACTGAGTAATGCTAATTTTTTAATGGAAGACACTGTATTTTCTCGAGGTGAGGTGTTCTTTAATTTTAGGTCAGAGTCCAGTCCAATGTGCCGACATAAACTGAGGTTGATATTCAGGTTATTCAGCACTCATGCCTGAGAAATGTCAGGTCAAGTTATCAGTCATTTTCTGCTTTATTTGGTTTATTTAAAAAGCTTTTTTGTGGTAAACTAGTGAATTAGATATACTAAATGTTATTAAAAAATCAAGCACAAAAATGCCACTTAATTCTTGCTAATGGCTCCAGAGACAGACGGCAATGGTCATTGAAAAGCCCATAAAAATAAACTTATATAAATGTATTTTTACAGGGAACATTTGTAGGTCCCCCATCGCTGAAGCTGTCTTCAGAAAGATGGCAACAGATGCTGGTGTTGTTGATAAGGTAACGTTAATCCATCATTTTTTATAACTGCAGAAAAATGCTAAAGGTCCCATTTTAAAACTTACTATATAAAAACATACATAAAGCATACTCTGTATAGCATACTCTATATAGCTGAAGTATAAGATGTGATGTTAAATCGATATATGAAAAATGTATCATTCCCAGCTTTTGGCTAATTAAAATGTTATGAGTAAGTCATCACAATTTTTATATGCAAAGATCTGGTAGATGATGAACATCTAAGATGAATTTATTATAAGGTGGCACGGTGCTTGGTCTGGTCTGGCGTTCATCATTGTAATGTCTAAGAGTACATGATGGCCGACTCAGCCTTCAAATTCACCACAGTTAGAAAGTCTCAGATATTGCATCAATTGGATTATTTTTATATAACTTATCTTTGTGATGGTTGCTTGTTACGTAAATTTAATTGAAAAGATTATCCGTCTCTGAACTCTGAAAAGAATTCAGAGCATTTGCCCATGATTGGACCTTTGCATTCATTCCTATTATTCTGTCCTCTGGAGTCCACCACTCTGCAGCACATACCGAACCACCTACAACTACATTTCTCATGACACTATGAATCCATTTTCCTGTGTTATTGTTCCTCATGCCCCACTCTGCATAGTGGAGGATAGACAGTGCTGCCACCTCCACCTATGAGATAGGAAACCCTCCAGACCATCGCGGTCAAGCCTGCATGAAGAAGCATGACGTGCCCATGAGGCATGTGGCTAGGCAGGTACGACCACTCTCTTCTACACCTCTTACAGTAGCTAGCGGCCGCTTTGTGTTTTCTGTTGTTTCAGTGGGTCATAGACAGTGGTGCCACATCAGACTGGAATATAGGCAGCTCACCGGACGCCCGCGGTCTGGCATGCCTTAGGATGAATGGCATTGAGACAAGCCACAGGGCCCGACAGGTACACAGCCGATGTCCCATGGCTGCTCTCACATCACTTGTGCGTTTTTGCGAGTCTGTGCTGTTCTATTAATTCTGTTTATATATGAACAGCACAGATAATGTGGGCCACGATCAAGCAATGTTTTTTAAACAAGTTTAACAATAAATTGTTTAAAAAAAACGTTGCTAAAACAGGATGCAACAAAGTTAGTAAAACTGAAAAGTGATTTGTTAGAGCTTAAAATCTATGTCTCTGTAATTGGATTACTTTATTTCCTTATTTCCATCTTCATCCCACCAGTTAAGATTTTAATTTGGTCATGTACTTTTACATTCTTGTTCAACTTCATATTTATTGACCGGCTGTTACAGAATATTTATTTTCAGTTTCTTTCCAAATACTGCTGGTATTTAACTAGATTTAATGTTGCGTCTACCAGTCAACTGCTCTCTAAGGGACTGGTGACGTCACAACGCGTCCATCCTTGTGCTTAATAGATAGATAAGAGCTTTATAATTCCTTCACAAATTTTCTCAAAGGACATCTCTGCTTATCGGAACCAAAAGTTCTATTGGGCATTCAGCAATCCGCAGTGCGTGTTTCTAGTCTACATCTGGCTTGTTTTGCTATTTATTTGCAAAGCTGTCACATTTGAACTTTGTGGTGAGGACACAGGAACGGTTCTTGTTGGAGGACTCTTGTAGTGTAAATCACTGCAACGACCCTGCAGCATCCGCCAGATCTCACTGAAGTTGGGCATTGGGCAGTCTTTCCAGACCTCTATTTGGTAGGAACAGTGTTGGGGGAGGCTCTTTAGCAATCTGAAGATTTATTAACCCTCCCCCCCGAATAGCATGTGAGCAATCACAGATGGGCTCTTCCGTGTGATAACTTCTCTCGTATATAAATTCTGATGGCGATAGATGTGGGTAGAACACATTTTCTTTTCCTGAAATCTTGTGAGGTTCCCAAGTCTTTGCTCATTGCTATTTTCTCCCATTCTTCAGCGTGCATGGCAGAAATGTTTCAGTAATCTTTTAAAGAATGTTTCATCTTGCACCGCTCGCTCTGAACCTTAGGAGATCACGGCAATGTTCACAGGACCAGAATAGTCTTGCATTCCTCTGCATCGGAATAAGCATAAAATGCTTGACCTTTCGGAGTTTAACAGTAGTTCATTATTAAAATGTTTGCCTACAAATTTGAAACTTTAAAAAATATTTAACAACCCCAGGACTTGTCTTTTAATGATGTGTGTTGGGGTAATGAGTCCTGTGAGGTTGGGATTTTAGATGAGTTTTTAACCAGGTTTCTCTGAATGTTGGGGAGAGGAAAATGATTTATATGTGTTTGATCAGGAAAAGTGATAAAGAACCTGCTGGCTCCTGCGTGTACTGCTGTGCAAAATGTCAGTACCTGTAGTGTTTATGAAATATTGATGTAGCCAATGTGGCAATCACCATATCACACATGTTTCAAATCCTGAAACAGGCCTGAAATTACACCAAGATGTTTGTCCATGTAGGGCCTTAAGGCCTTATGCTGTGCTGGCTCTTCCTCAGAGTAACTCCTACTCCCCAGTGCCCTGAAAGAAATCCCTTTTTTCTTTCTTTCTTTCATTCTTTCTTTCTTTCTTTCTTTCTTTTTTATGAGAGAGCTTTTGGTTTTCACCCTCTGCTTAAGATCTGCCGCCTCCTTGGTTTGTCTTAACAGCAAACCTGTTCCGTCAGTCTTGCATCTAATCTCCTTAAATCAGGTTTGGGGAGGCCGGACCCCTTAGCTTAAACTCAGCCAGACACAAACAATTACCTTTGACAAGCTTTTGCCTTTCTTTCTTGTAGTTTATGAGCCCTTTAGTTTCTGTCCCCCACCCTCCCACGATGCTGAACCTCTGGTATGGCTGGCAGGCTGGATGAGGGGGAGATCTTTTGGAGGCCGCCTTGTCCCCAAACAAACAATCATGTTCTTTAATTAAACAAACATTCTCAGATGTGACCATAACGAGTAATGTGGAATTTCTTTTTTTCTTATCACGAACCGCCAACGGATCCTAAGATATAAGAGAGTTGAAATTTTGATTTCTTGCCCGTCATTATGTTATCATTGAATCAACATTTTAGGAATGAACATCACTTTTAGCCAAAATCCTGTCATCCTGCTGCAATCAGTTGAATTTCACCTATCATCTTTTTAGTATTGGTGTTGTGCTAATACATTTTTCAAAGTGAGTTCTTCCCCACTGCTGCCTTCAAAAGAAAAACCAATGTAAATGACGCACTAATATTTCTTTATTTATGTCTAAAAAATGTGTTGCATTTACTTTTTATCTGTATATCTGTTAGGCAAGTAAATAAATGAAGAAATGCACTCAAAAGGTTATGAAGAGTTTGGATATGTAGGTTTATTTATTCTTGATAGTGTTTTCCTCCCTGGCCCTTACTTGCTATTGTTCATATTAGTTTCACATTCAGTTTCTTTTTTTTCTTGATAAATGTTTCTTGTTTATATTTATGTATATTGTTCTTTCTTTTTATTTATTCCATTGTTATTGTTATATTTAACATGTTAAATTAGGCACAATTGAATCAGCAAAGATTAGAGTAGCTTTGAGTTGTAGATATTCAAATGTACTTACCCAATTACATCAATTGAGTTTTCAACTGTGTGTTATTGGTAAGTGTGATAATACGATTGTGATCCAGCTCAAACCCGTCAGGACTTGGATACTGACACAGAAAAGGTTTTTTTTTACACTATCATGTCAAAATGACCTTTGTGGATTTTATTTTTTTGTTACAGTACCATCTCCTCATGGCTTCATAAGGGTTTTATCTGCTGGGTTTTATCTGAGTCTGAACCTGTTTGCATCTCCCAGCTCATTCCTCATTTACAGTGAAAGCCTCCCTCTACACACTGCCAGATATTTCAGAAATCAACTAAAGGTCACCGTCAGCAGTGTGAAGAAAGGTTGCATGAGGCTTTAAAGAAGGGAGAAAAAAAAGTACAGCATTATTACTGCTTCATTTGAACTGTGAGAGCTTCAGATCAGCAGGAGCACAGAGCTGGAAAGGCACTGTGATCAACACAGATTATTGCAGTGTGAGAGAGGGACATAAAGGGCCGCTCACACCAAAATCTCTTCCAAATATTCTGCTAATATCATTAGAATTCAGGTTATGTCCACCCTAGACAGGTTTTAGGTGACATGGTATATAAAAGTTGATGGTAAGGTCTAATTAGTTGTTTTTTTGCTTGTATGTTCTAGCCTTACTGGCCTCAATTATAGTTGTTTGACAGAACAAGAGATAGTCATGTGGGAAAGAGCACAACTCGCCTAATATGAGCCTCCTACTAAACCCACTGGGGTGAAATGTAAAATGACCCGTTTGACACCGGGGCATTTTAATGTCTTATTTTTTTACATCCTTTGACTCCTATGATTATTTAGAACACAATAGTTTGAATGAAATTGGTCCTCAGATGGCAGCAGCAGCAGTTGGGTGGCTGATCCTCTAAACTCCTCCTCCATTTTGGGATGGGGGCACAGTGGGAGCATTATCATGTTGCTCTGCGGTGTTAATGCTCACATCACTCGTGTTATCATTAGCTATCGATACTTTTGTTGTTCTTGGTGGGAAGGAATCTTAAGAAAACCAAAACAAAGTGATCAGAACCACCACAGCAATGGATTATGAGAATATAACTCCCCAAAGATAAAACAAATTGTTGGACATGAATACGCAGAATTTCTTTGCTCTGTTATCATTTTGTCAATGTCTGGAGGAATATTTCTGTTCCTATCTCCTTTTTTTCCTGATCTCTAATTTGGATTTTAGCTTTTTATTTTCAAAACCTAAATGTATGTTATAACTAAATATTCAGGAAACATTTTTAAAATAGCTTTTTCTTCCATTAAGGCATCTAAGGGAACACTGCACATTTTTACAGCTGCTTTGGCCCATTTTGTATTCTGCTTTTTCAGGAATTAAGTAAATAATAAATTTCGGTTGTAGTTAAGCTTGCGCTGTGAGATTTTATGTAGACTTTAAACGGGTCAAGGAGGCTCCGAACGTCCATCCAAGCTCACTGTGTCCATCAAAAACTGATGGAAATGACTTGGGCAACTTTCGTAGATACCATTTCGATGAACAGTTTTTGTCAGAAGAATCTTTGATGGCAAGCTGAATTCCCCATGATTGCCTCACCTTAAAGCAGTTCACTGCCCAGCAGAGGAACCTGTTTGCGTTGAGGTGAATGCAGCTCTGACAACTAGAAATGATCATTAAAGTGAAAATTAGACACTGGATGATCCTTTTCATTACTATGTTTGAGTCACAATGAAACTTTTGTGTTGTAATGGAATGTAGTTAGTTATACTGCTACAGATTAATGAACAATTTATAGAAATAAGATCTTTTGATGTGGGATTTAACTAAGGAGAGCATTAGATTGTGGGTGACTGAGAGAGGCCTGTTTGATAACCATTGATGTTTACTGCATAAGATTCTCCCCTTTCAAAGGGACCAGAGGGAGTCTCTGCTGTCCGTACTGTGTTTCCACTCGCAGCCAAAAGTAATATTTGCTTTGTTCTGCTTTTCTATCCTACTTCCAGGTGACCAAGGACGATTTCATGAGTTTTGAATACATTCTGTGCATGGATGAAAGCAACATGAGGTACAGTTATGTCAGTTTCTTTTTTTTCTTTTTTAAAATTTTATTTGATAGCAGTCACATACATCTAAAACATGAATGTTACATCTTACTTGGTAAATTCTGCTTTGGGTTTAGTGACAATGAGCCTCCAACAGGTCATACCAGGTTGTCAACAATCATGACGGCCATGTGTGCTATTCATTCTCTTTCTCATAAGTATGTTGGAAACACGGAGCTATAACTAACTTGTTGGTGAATGCCTCCCTTTAATGAGCAATATCCTTTCTTAAGCTCTTTCCAAAGGTCAGGGGGAGGGATATTTTTTGCTACTTTGAACATTTAAGGATCATTTTGAGATCACATGCCTGTGGCAGATCTGATCTGTAAGCAGCTTACTGAGTTCTTTGGATGCCTCGTCTTTGCTCTTGAGGGAGTTTTTCCCCTTCACATTTTTTTTTTGCAGGACTAAGATAGTCCATTGATTATTTGAATCCAATTTTTTTTCTTTTATTTGAATTATGCAACAGTGTCTTACTTCTACCAAACTTGTATTTCTGTTGCAGAGGTAACTTAGTTGTTTGTCGCTGATTTAAAACAACATCTACAATGTAGATGTTTCTAATGTGTGTTATCAGTTCTGCATAGAGTCAATTATTCTGGCTCTTACCCATATTGCACCCGGACACCTCCACATTTCATATAAAACTGTCTCTCACCCCAATCCAGTGGTCATGTGCTGAAGCTTTTAAGGTTTTTTTACCTGCTCTGTTATTCTGGGTTTATATATTCTGTTCTGTCTTCACAGTGACCTCACAAGAAAGGCCAACTCTGTGAAAAACCACAAAGCTAAAATTGAGCTGCTCGGTTCTTATGACCCTCAGAAGCAGCTGATCATCAAAGACCCGTATTATGTAAGTATTCCAGCAAACTCTTATGTTTGATATTCCATTGTCTAATAAAGTTGATTCTTGGATGTATTTCCATTAGTCAGCATGCGCTGAGGATCCACCTAATGGTTTTAGGCCTGTTTAATGCATCATGTGTGAATTAACCTGTGTTTTTATTCAGTTTTCTTTATAAACAAACAGAGGCACCTCACATATTTTTAAACTCTACAAAAAACACCAGTCTGCAAATGCAGACAGCAGTCTGCGATATTTTCGTTTTGTATCTTCAGCCTAAATATGAATGCTCACGCAAGTAGCTAAAATGATATTCAAGCAGGCCTAAAAATACAGAAAATCTGCGTGACTGATTAAAAGACACTAACATGGCATATTGTATAACAAATACCTTGAATTTGCAAATGGTCAGTGATATGAATGGATGTCAAAATTATTCCAGAAAGGAGGTCTTTTCCAAAGACAGTTTTTTCCCAAAGGAAAAGTGGGAGGAAAAATGTGATGGCTGAAGGCCAACACCTCAGTGTTAGCAGTAAAGAAATCTTTTTTTTAAAGTTTCAGAGAATCATGGATGACAACCAATAACAACCAAGGCTGAATCATTAGATCTCCAGACACTCTGTCATAGGCAAAATCTCTGAATGGACTCAGGAACACACTTAAAACATTTAAAAGTTTCTACACCTATGGATGATGCTGTCCTTTGACCCAGAAATGATAACGAGATCATATTAAATGTTGTTTCTAAACAAATGTCACCAAGCTGCAGGTGAAAAATAATCAGTATAAAGTGTAACTGAATTATCAGGTAGTCTGACCTTCGTCCAGTACAAACCAAATCCAGTTGAACCAGCCGAGGCACTCCCATGAAAAATCCTATAAGAAGATATTTAACTTAGGAGAGACACACCTGATCTTAATCTGTATCTAAATTTTTCAGAAATCTATTTGTCTCCATCTGTGCATGTCGTGCGATGTGTTTTGTGGTGCGCTTTTAGAGCTGTTGGTCAGCAGAATCACCCAGCAGCCCCCCCACGCTGCTGCCTGATTGGAGATTTTCATCTCTGCTCTCGCTCTTGTCCATCTCAAAGGAGAACGGCAGGGACGAAGAAGAAAAAAACCCAACGAAATCCCTCATGTAGTTAGAAAAAAAAAAGCCTAGTCAGCAGAAAATGTTGCTCATAGTCCCATCGCTCATTGGAAGAAACTGAGAAAAACGGCTTTCTGGGCCTCTGAAACTAATTGTAAAATAGTCTGATGATAAATTATGGATTTAACAACATAAATAGTCTTTGTTCAGCCCTTCTTTTTATGGCTGTGCTCCCCCTAAAATTTTAGATGATCTATCATGAGAATGGTTTGATGGACATGATAAAGAACAGGAAATGTTAAACGGCGCAGTCATTTATTTGTGTTTTATGGATTTGGATGAACTGCGTCAGACTTCAGGTGCATGTGGTAGTTGTAGAGATGATTCCTCGTCTGCAGGGAGAATCGGAATCTTGTCTAGGCACGTTTCATGCAATAAACAGCTACAAAACAAAACAGTGTGTGCTGCAGCAATAAAAGGCATCAGTTGTTTGTCAGAAAGGGGAGGAAAGCAAAGCTATTCAAGCTGTTCAGATCAGGGCACATCTTATAGGGAACTTTAAAAAAAAAAAAAAATTTCCTTGGACATCAGCACCAGAGATACTTTCTGGTTTCCGATTGGTTTGGCTTTTCACGCTCCGAGGCTCTCTCAGCTCTTTTGTTCTTTACGTGCTCTCTCTGCAGCCCAAAGTCCTGCCAGATGACTTGGAAAAAAAGGCCTTCTTGGCTGCTTTTTATCTTCTTGAGGGCTGTGAGTGAAAGAAGGCAGAAATTGGAGTAATGCAGTAAGAGAAATATGGGAAGGCTCTGGGGTTTGAGTAGCGGCGATAACTTATCAGGATGAATTTAGGAAGCGCATCCTCGCTTTTGAGCCGCTCGTGTTTTCATAAAGGGTTTAAACAAACGCCGACGCATTCAATAATGAGAGCCCCTTTTCTTGTGTGGTCTGGACAGATTTTGTGGAGACACGGCACTATTGAACTAATCATTCTGCATTTGTGCCTATCTTTATTGCTCTATTGCTTGTATTACTTGTGTTGGAACCTTCCATCCAAATAAAACAGTACTTCGTTAGGGATGTGGATGGAAGAGGAGCTTGCGGCTCACCACTGTTTATATGACTGTAGACAGTTATATTAGGTTCTCGTTTTGAACATCGTGTTTCTGTGTGTAGCAATGAGCATTTAAACATTTTTTTTTTATTAAAAAGCAAAGTTTGCTTACCAGAGCTGTTGATAATCAGTGTGGTTTTGGAGTCTAGTAATTGCTTTGGACATTTAACAGTGCTGATTTGTGGTCCCTCGCCAGTAACCACATGTCACGACAGCAGGCGGAGCAAAAATCTGCCAAATCACTGTCACAGGTTCAAGATGAATGCAAACACCATCCTTTTCTCTTCAGAGTTCATATAATGATGAAATTGTGGTTTCACTAAAAGTATCCTTTCCATCCATTGGCTTCTATCCTATCAGGGCTTTAAATTACACAGATTTCTAGCTCTTTTTCATACATAAACATACCCAGAAAAAGGGTGCCCGGTTAGAGTCTCAAGGGCCCCTACTGTCCAAAAACATGCAGGTTCAGTTGATTATTCTATATTGCCCATAGGGGTGTGTGTGTCTGTGTATAGCCCTGTGACCGGTGACCATATGAAACGAGGAGGTGACCTTACAGTTTGGATAGATATCCCCCCCCCCAAAAAAACCCCCACTGAGAATAAGTCTATGAATAAGTGGTATAACAGATGGAGGACGTAATGAGGTGTCTATGTTAAAGATATTTCTAGCGTTAAAAGCAAAACAAAACAAAGATCTCAGCAAAAACTACAGTAAACTGGGGAGTCCAAAATCTTCAAGTGGTCTTGCTTCTTTTGGCGTGAAATGTGACCAGATATGAGTGTGGGCTTCATCACTCAACAATCCAAAGCCACTTGGCACCAGCATTGACAATTTGGCCCTCAGCATGAAGAGAAAATAATTTTTTCGGTTGACTTACAATCTGTCCTTTCATCATTTCTTTGTGTGATTTAAATCGGCCACATCGCCCGGGGCTTTCATTTATCACATCCACTTTAGCCGGTCATATTGAATCTCCATTCTGTGGACATAAAAAAGGGTTTAACTCTGCTAGCTGAGCTGAAACCTTCTCATTTATTCTCTCCTTAATATTTTGTCTTTTAGGGAAGTGACGAAGACTTCGAAAAGGTGTATGTACAGTGTGTAAGATGCTGCACAGCTTTCCTGGAGGCCAACTCCTAACACCGCATCTTTTGTGTGCCTGATGGATGAACGGGAATTTACAACCTAAAATGCTTTGGCTGTAAGCACTTATTAATATAACCACATAACAACTATACCTGAAGGGCAACGAGAAAACGGTCAGGGTTGTAGATCTGACAAACACATTGCATCTACTTAGAGAAGAGCTGGCTTTACAGACTGTAAATGACGTTAATAAAGGCAATTTGGACTCTTTTTTTTGTTTGTTTTGTTTCCTGCAGATTATTCATTTTTACTTTGAGAAAGAATTTTAAAAAAGACCTTGTTGAACTGTTTTCCAGTTTGGATTGCCCGTACTCTCCTTTTTTGTTTTGAAACCAGTTTGACAGTAAAGTCATGATGTGTGTTTTCTGCAAAATGACTGCATTTACAATATTCAGACTACAGATATTTTCAGCAAGGCTTCATTTATTGAAACTATCTTGAAATCAAAATTGAAGAAGGAAAAAAGATGGGAAAAGCTATATGATTTTTGGATCTAAAATTTCTGACCAGAAATACATCTTCTTATTCATATGAAAAGAAAAAGGAAAACTGTCGGCCCTCTTGTGTTAGTCACTCGTTCTCTGTCAGACTCTTTTCGTTCCCTTATATCTGAATTGGTGTTACTCCCACTCGGCTGCTCTTCCCACCACTAATACCGATGACCAGCCCACACGTTTCACCTCCTCACTGTAGAGTTGTGATTTCATCACCGTGGGAGATGGAAAATCGGCTGTAAATTATTAAACAAGGGTGGAGTTCAGGGAGAGATGAACCAACTGGTGACTGGGGGGGGTTTCCACTTGCTGAAGAATGTCGTTTCAGTCCATCTTCTGTGAATGTAAATGTTAGGGCCATTTGACTATTCAGCAGCAGCCATGTACATTCAAGATAAAACCACAGCGTGCTCCCAGATTCTGAATTCAGTCACATTGCTTTTTTCCCCCCTTTTTTTTTTAAATGACTCAGCTTTTGTGTCTCCAAAAATCTTTTTTTTCTGACTAATTTAAAGGATCCAAAACGAGATGCATGAAACAAGAAACATCAAGTTTATTTTAGTGTTGGTAAAAGATGGAACGTAAAAATGGATCTGCTGCAACTGCAGGTCGGGGTTGCAAATGTTAAAAAAAATCCCAAACCGTAATGGATGGTGGAATGAAAAGAAAGCATGCTGTTTGGAGTCAGACGTAGCCGTGCTGCTCAGAGGGCCTGCAGAGTTAAGAAAACCTTGTGCTGCACTGACCAGGTGTTCTGGACTCCAGCCAGGCTGCAACACCGTCGCTCTGCTCAGCGCCTGGGCCAGGAGGGCCCGGCCCGCCGCAAACGCTTCATGTTTTTAATACGTTTCATGGGGAGTATAACTTTGCTTAAAACATTTTTCACTGACAACTGTTGACAGCATGTTATGTAGATTAAGCAGAATAACGTGGAGACGCATTCAGGAGGGAGATGCCGCTGCACAGAGCCGTTAGCACCGCACACTGGATTCCATTCCCACACATCCTCTCCACAGCGGAAATTGCTTAGACTGATAGCTACAATTTTAAGGTAGCTGAGGCTTTCAGCACTTGGGCTTCATGTCATTATCTCAACGGGGAAAGGAAGAGAATGACTAATAGCATTAAAAGGGATTTTTTTCCTTTTCAGTGGGAAGAAAAAATTTGTTTCGTTACACTTAATTTTACTCTTAAATTGATAACTTTAACTTATCAGTTATAAGTTGAACTTATCAGTTTAAGACTGTTAGTTTGAAGAAAAATTATTTAATATAAGGGACAATAGTGATAAAATGTCAAACCATTTACTTCCTATATATTTGGTTTTTGATATTTTACAATGAAAACAAACTATTATTTCATTACCCAGGAAAAAGTTACCATCATCAGCTTCACCAGGTAGTTTTTTTCCCATCCAGACTTTATGATTTGACTTTTATGAAAAATAAATGATCAATCAACTAGATTTCCAGCAACGAAAGTATTGCGTTCTTATTGATATCTACATCTCAAGAGTTTTTTTCTGTGTCGCTTTAGTTGAGATCTCCGTGTCCGCTGATTAACCAAAATCCCAGAGATCTCAACCTGAGGAAAAATGCAACATAGAGCATCTGCTGTGGACAGATACCAGTGGAGATGAATATAAAAGATCTGCTCTGTGAATCAACATGCTTTTAAGAGGAACCTCTCTCTCAGTGTGAATGTAATAAAACAACAGAAAAATGCTGACTCACACTCTGGAAAGGGATCACATATGAAGTGATTTTGCAACAACATCTATTTCAAACTAAAAAAAACACTTTGCTCTCTCGGAGTTTGACCTTTTTTAACGGCCCGTCTGAAGCCGCAGTGGGAAGTTCGCCGGATCTGCGGTCCCAGGACTCTATCCAGTCATGTGGTCGTTCAGGGAGCATTCTTCATTTCAAGATGGGAATGCAAAGAAAAATACTGCACAAGTCAACAGGCTGAGTCATTTTGTACCAATCTCATAATTTATTTAAATATATTTCATTCTTTAAATATATATATATTTATATAATACCCTTTTGCTTAATGACAGCCATGTTTTTTATGGTAAGTAGGTGGATTTTTTGTATACCTTGTTTTACAATATGTACATGATACTCCTGTTTTTTTTATGATCGAGGCCTATATTTGAAGTACAGTGGGACCATTTAACGACTTGTACACAAAAATATAGGCTTCACCACACGAGATCCACAGGAAAACTGTGACCAACATAAAACACTTTTCTTTGTCGTCTTTCACAAAGGAGCAGAAAAATGATCATGCAAATGTTCATTTAATCACAGTTTGTTGTGAACACCAGCTGACTGTCGCTGGGGTCTGAGAGAGCCCTACAAAAACAACTAAAAGAAAAAAGACAACAACCAAGACACACAGTCTGGGTGAGGGGTAACAAACTCAGGTCCGCGTGGGCCGCTGTCCTGCAGGTTTTAGACATTTTCCTGCTTCTGCACACCTGCCTGAGTGAATTGGATCTCTTCTAAACATTTTTCAGGCCTGCTATTGGCACATTGATATGACAGTGTGTTGAAGCAGGAAAACCTCTGAAACCTGCAGGAAAGTAGAAAAGATTAACTTAAACCCAAACATTCAAACGGGGCGATCCCATAACAAAAGGTATTTGTTTTGTTCATTTTTGAGACCGGCAGGAATGAAAGGCCCCAGCTCTGTTTATTTCTGATGCTTTTTCTTTTTCTTCTCCACTTGAACTTTTACACTTCCACCACCTTCATCTTTATCTGTGTCTGCTTTTTGTTTCCTGGTTGCTTCCATGTGGTGATTGCTAACCTTCGAGGCCCAACCAGAGTTGTGATTGGCACATTTCACGACTTAGCAGAAGGGGCCTGAGTGAAGGACAACACTGTGCCTAATGTCCGTCGGGCTGGTCAGATTTAGGCTTGTCCAAGGCACTTTTTTGCCCCAAAGTGTACTTTCTTTTTCTTCTGGAGTACTTCTGTTTGATTTCACCCTGCAATTAAAGAGGAAAGGATATTCAGCACTGTCTCTAAACTTGGAAACACCATAAAGAATCACAAATGATCCATCATGAAACACTTCATTTGCAGCAAATTTTAATCGAACCCATAATCCCAAATGGAGAGCTATGAATGGTTTCGATCATTTATTCTTTATAACTATAATTACTAAAATGACTAACTATGGCAAATACAACTCTAATCTTTTCTTTAAGCAGCAGTGGCATTCTCCTGTAAGATTAGTATCATTAAGGTAATCTTCACAGGATCAAGAGGCATGTTCTCATTGTGCAGGTGTTCACCTTCATTAACTCTCATGTGCTGGCCTTTGAGCAGAATATTTTAAGGACATATAATATATATTTTTAAAAATCTTATGGACAGACTTTTTTTTACTATGAAATATCCTCAATATGAATAAAGCAATAAGAATGCAGCTAATTTTAAAGGGCAAAACATACACCGAATGCCACTACAAAATCTGATATGTTACTATAAATACTTCACTGAGCTCTTTCAGTGAAAGTTGTCTGTTTAATCTTGTAAGAAAGACTTTTAGCATCTGACATAATGAATGTTTGTTGCTTTTGCTCAAGTTACATTGCAGGTCTATTAGCCTACAACAGCAAGCTGCGGTCACTTTACTGCACCAGCAAACATTCAGCCAAAGCAGAACCCTGCTCTGTATCACTCTAAAGTCCCTTTTCTGATCTGTTAGTTTTGTCCATGCACTTCCGTCTCGTCACGTGCCATAGAAACAGAAATAAGCACACACTCTTAACGTGTGGCCTGTCCCGAACTGCGCCCTGCACCACGGGGGGACACTCAGATGATCTGCGCTGTGCACACATTTTCTCTCTGGAGCGGTTCTGTTTGAGTTAGAGGTGAAAGCACCCTGTTACCTTGTGAGTGCTACCCCTCTGTGCACTGCGGGCTGCCGGCTAGCCGAGAGAGAAGACGCGCACATCTTTTGAAGACTGAGAAGAGAAAACACATGGAAAAGACAGTGAGTGGGATGTTCTCATGCGGCGTGTTGACATTGGACTCGCAGAGTCATTCCTGGTCGCGTAAAAGGCCTGAGCGGGCTTACATGTGGGTACCGTGCAGTCTCTGGTGTTGTGGTAAACCTTGTACACGGTCTTCCTGCACTTGGGGCTGAAGTAGAGCGGACCTGACAGAGGAGAAGAGAGTGGCCTTTAAGCACATTTCCAGCTTTGCAGGCACCTGCACTAACATCTGTTTTATGGTTTTCATCCGAGGCCATAATTCAGTTTCATGTACATCCGACTGCTTCGGTCATTGCCCGTATGAAATTGGGAGTCATCAGCCCATAAAACGCATCTCTGACTTTCACACACTTGTCACAGCAGCAGCAGCTTTCAGTCAGGGCTTACCTGTTATATATTTGATAAATTTCTCTTTCTTTTTTAAGTCCCAGGGAAACACAGCTGTTGGGAAAAGAAGATGGAAGAGGAGTGTCACAGGTTTTCATAGAGATACATGCCAACAAAACTATACTTTCTTAGAAGGCCTGTCTCAAGAGACCATCTGACACAGCAGTTACATTAAGTTTGCCTCTGTAAACTAATACAAGAATAAATCCAGACATCACACTGAGTGGCAGACATTAACCACAAAGATAAAGGCCCAGAAAGACAAAGCCCATAACATCTGCACACTCAGATGTCATTTCAAATAGATGAAATAATACAAGTGGATCCCAGAATGAAACATCTTTGCCTTCGGAGCATCCTTCAGAGAACCACTTTAGTGATCCATCCCGAGGATAAACAGCCACTTACCGTGGTTTCCTCTTTCTGTTCTGTTGCGAAAGTCTCTCTGCACCAGCGTGGAGCTCTCCGTCCGTGACGTTTGGGGGGCTTCCGTTTTCCCACCGTGGCGTCCCCGGTGATCCTCCACGTGTTTGACGATCTCCACTATGCGCTTCAGGTCCCGCAGCGCGTCCCCTCCGGCGGCTGAGGCGGTGGAGGTGGTGGTGGTGGAGGTGGTGGTGGAGGTGGAGGTGGAGGTGGAGGTGGTGGAGGTGGGAGATGTGCAGGGCGCGCTCTCGCTGCAGTGCTCGGTCAACGTGCACATCAGCAACACCAGTCCCATCATGACGTGCCTGCGCAGCCCGCTCATAGCTCCCGTGTGGTGAGGAGGGTGCAAAAAAAAAAGTTTCTCTCTGTTCACCAGACACCTGCAGGGGAGAAACCCAGGGAGACTCTCACATACCCGACACGTGAATGACCAGAACCCGGAGAAAAGGGATCTCCCCTTAACTACAGTCTCCTAAATACAATTAGATTTATACAAAACAATACACTGATTGTGGACCACAGAGTCCAAATCACAGATTGCTGAAAGTTGGGGACTAAGTTTCACGTCTGTCTGTCATTCTGTAATATCATTCCATCTACAATTCACAGATTACACAATATTACAATACAGCCACACGTCGTTCACACGCTACAGAAGCATTTAAACTTGTTTGGTGTATTTTAACTAGCGCCCCATCACTCCTGGGTGTTATTACTGTGCTTTCCTGATAAGAAAATGATAAGTTCGGTTCACTTAATCAGAATAATTATCTGTACGAGTAAGAACTGAAGGGGTTCGAGTAACACTGAGAAAAGTCTGCCTCAAGGAGAAATGCTTTAAAAGTTCACATTCAAGTGTCAAAATAGCAGTCGTGTATTAAAATTGTAATTTACCTTTTCTTTTAAAAAGGCCTCAAATCCGCTGTTTGTGTCCAGAAAAAAAAAAAAAAAAGTAGCGTTCCTGTCTGGTCCCGCGACTGCTCCTAAGTATGAAGAAATAAAGCTTCAGAAGTCATGAGTTTTCGCTAAGCATCTGTGGTCATCCTCTGACCGCCGGCAGAGTGCAAAGAGAGAAAGCGCAAACGGCAGAAAGAGATCCGACTCTCCAAGTCCCCCAGACGTCCTCGGTGGAGTCACACAGCCGTCTCCCTCAGTCCAGCTCACTCTTTATTCTGTCTCGCCGACGCAGTGACATGTCCCCTGTGGGTTACTCCGCCACATATGTGGTAATTATAGCCACACTGGAGGCGCACCTGAAGAGGAAAGTCCACACGAGTTGAATGACCATCACTTGGACGCTGTGTCAAGTTTTTCTGAGCCCCCCTCCTTTCCGTCACTCCATTTATCTGTGCGAGACGCGGTTACAGGAAGCGTTCTCCTCCACTAATACTTCCACTGAAATTCCCAATCAGCCCAGCGTACAGCGTATCTCAGTAGAAATGCTCCCATATCCTTCTTGTGATCCTCATAACCTCATTTAGAGCCATTGCGCGCTTTAAATCCATCATTGGAATTGAAACCCAATTATGCACTTTTTAAAGATGGTTCTTTGCAAATTAGTTACCAGTGAACGAACCATTGCCTGTAGTTTTTCTGGTGAAGTGCATGGATCCTAATGAGGTTTTTCTCCACGCTTCAGATTGTCTGCCGCACGAGCCTGCTGTGGTTTAGAACAGCTTTCTTTAAAGTCAGGGCGTGCAAGTGGCTCCCATGCCCACCCCCTCAAATCTAACTGACCTGTGAGGTTTTACCATATAATGAAGACATGGTGAGGGGAGACAGCCCAGTGTTCACGCATCTTCACAACTCCAGAGGTCCGACCTGTTAATCTGAGCGCAGATCAGCGTACCTTTTGTGCTTGTGATCTTTACGAAACTAACCCACATATTTTGCACATAGTTGGCTATTTTGGTCCTAATCGGCTTACTGCAGAAACAGCTAGAATATTTAGCCCGGGTGGGAATCGTGTCAGGTAAAAAACCCTGGTGCTGAAAGGACAGCGCGCACTGTCCCCAAACGTCCTCGCTGACCAGGGCCGGTGGCTCTGGTTTCAAGCGGCCAGCCTCTGATGACCGACATCCTGAGATGAGTAACCATGCCAACAAAAACGATGACAAGAAGTATTCCCGGTTTTCCAGGATGAATCAAACCAACATGAGACGTGAAGATGTAACATTGTCAGCGTAATTTATAGTCACTGACCATTTGGGGGGAACAGTGGCATCACTGATTGTATATGAGCCCATTTTTGTCACTTCACCGTCCAACCGAACGAAGTTTGCCACAGAGAGCAACCTCTGGCCTCTGACCCTGACATGTAAAGTGTGTCATTACAAGACAAACTTCGACATTTTGACTGCACTGACACATTTAAATTGGATGTACAAATAAATCACCACCTTTCTCAGAAATTCTCCCATCACGTCTGTATCTTTTTTTCTGAAATGCAAAAATGACTTCTTAAAATGAAAACAATAAAATATACAGTTTCTCTGGGAACAACTTCAGCAGGGGGCGATCTTAGTAATGAGCTCAGCCGGATTGGCTCTTGATGTATTTCCATATAAATGGACAATTAAAGTACCATTAGGGAAACAGATCCCTGTCTGCTGAGCAGCTCAGCTTCACCTGTCACAGCTCATCACATATCTGCACACCCAGAGTCAGGCATCCAACCTTTAGTTCAGATGTGTGGAAGTTAGCAAATGTGTTGGTTTACTTATCAGCAATATAAACCCAGCCTAGTTTTGAAGAAGAAGTAAATAAAAAAGCAGACGATCTTCGATTGGGACGTTTGGTAAAGACAAAAAGCTGGCAAGCAGGTGAATGAAGGGACTAGAAAATCTGGTGTAACTGCAGTTTGGCCTTTTTTTTTTTGCTCCTATTACTTATATTGTTACTTCAAACTAGAAATGATCTTTGTCTTGTGTCATCTTTTCTTTGGAGGAATGAATGGCCTCATTTAACCCTGGTTCTGTTCTTGCGTGATCTTTATGCACTTCTGCATAGCCACACGTGAAGCTGCGCTGTCCAACGTGGGAGTCAGTGACTCAAGCTCATGTGATTTGAAGTGAACCGCATGTGGTAAACCTTTTAGAAACTATCGCTTTATTTCAACACACCGACTGTTTTACTCTCCCTTTCCCTTATGAACTCAAATAGACATATTTCCTCTGCAAGAATAGTCAGTTAATTATTCATAGGAGGATACAGTTTTCTTCCCACAAGTGTACCTATCTTACTCCTGTTTTCTTGTCCAAGTTGAGATTTAATTTACAAGAGGTGTTAGTGTAAATTTGGTCATGGTTTTAAGATATTTTTCTCATTTTGGCCACAGCAAATGGATCCACTTCTGCAATCAAGGATGTTGAAAATATTTCCTAGCCTAGGGGTCAGATAAACTGACACAGCTAATGACTATGACTTTTAAACTGAATAATGGGGCTGGAAACGACATGTCTTAAATTGAGTGCAAATAGGAAACATGAACTTTTATTTACTCAAAGGAATTGGTGTTTCATATAAAAAACAGAAATGAAAAATGATGAACATCTGCAATAAAGATCCAGTTTAAGAGGTCCTTCTCTTTAATCTTGTTTTTTTTATTTTTTTTTACATTTGTAGACATAAATCAATCACATTAGCAGATGTGAAAGTTGAAATAAAAAAGCCTTTTCTCTGAGTGAAGGATAAACTGATTTTTCTTTTGTTTTTTTGCTATAGCTTCAGCATCACAGCAAAACGTGGAAGTTCAAATTGCAGACATTTGATGTGATTTGACTTCTGAGATAATTCACCCTCAATGAATAGCGCAGAACCTTGGATGACAGCTTAGTTTTTTGTTAATGAGCAAAGATGTGTTTTGGTGAATAAAAGGGCACAGCTTTACTAAAAGAGCCCGAAAAACAACTGTTAGATTAGGGGAACAGCCTTCATGATTTGGGCTTGTATTGATGGTATCATAAATGTCACCAAGGCATTCCTTTGGTTATTGTCCCAAGAGTCCCTCACGTAAACACAACTGACACTCCAACGCTTTCTACTACTCTTTGCTTCTTATGTGACTTTCCTGCCTTGGTGTTTCCACAATTTTCTTTTTTTTGTTTTTTTTCGATGTCAGAATATTGTTGTCCGATGTTTAGCATAGTTTCTTTATTAGTGTGTTCTCCAGGTCTACACAACAAAAGAAATGTGTCGCTAAGCCTTGAATTTCACTAAATTTTCTCTGACGGGACAAATGCTTTATAGGAATTTAATTTAATCTTTTTCAGTGTGGTGTAAGCACTAAACACACATTTTCAGTTTAAATTAACTTGAAATGATAAACTAAGAAAGTAACCCATGTAATCTGGGTTGTTTTCATTCTATCAGTCACCAGAATGGATGTTATTGGTCTATTCAGATTAATAGGCAGTGGAAAAGGGCAACTACTGGCTGTATTTATGTAAGTGATAACCAGTGACATACAATTAATCAATTAATGGCTTGACATTAACAATGAAGTCAGTGTGAAAATCTCTGGACAGCCTTCAGATGAACTGTGAAAGACAGATTATCTCAGGAAATCTCAAGGCCTTTTTTTCAGACAAAAAGACCAAAAATAAACAAACAGGAGTTGAAACACAAAAACTGTTTACAAGCTGTGATGTTTGCCACAGGTGATATTACTCAGTGCCAGGCAGGCAGGATGTGCAACCTTTTTCTCATCCCACTTTTTTTATTAAATACAACTTTAAATGACTTGTGCACAATCAAATACATTTCCTGTGAAAATGTGTGTAATCAATTATCAGAAATCATTTTAAAGACGGTAAATTGAGCGTGGAAAAGTTATTAAAGGCCTTTTAATTCTGCATGGATGTTTTTTCTATTTTCCCGGCAGATTCTACCTCTGAGCAACTGTGCAGGCATGTAAAGAGTGTGCTTGATTAACAGCTTCCATAAAGATGCAAAGAATGCAAGTGGGCGGTCCTTTAAGGGTCAAGTAATTAATAATTTCTGTCAACCTATAAGCCCACACATTACAGCATACAGCACGGTGATGCAATGCTGCACTCCTACATGTCCTAAACACAATTCTTATTCAGCTGCCAAAAAGTTAGGTCTGACAAAACTTTCTTTGGATTATTGTCTTTAGTTTCACAAAAGTGCATTTTCATTATGTTTAAAATTAGGTAAACTGTATATTTTTAAGTATGGCCAAACTGGAAAATTGTTGTTTTTATTTGCAAATGTGAAAATAAATGTGCAAAATTAGGCTATTACGAAGCAAAATTCTTCATTCAGTGCTACAGATCAGAGATAAGGTAGAAATGCCCCCAAAAAGGGGGGGGGTGGGATAATGCCAAATAAAAACAGTTTGGTAGCAGGTCTCTCTTTTTGAGATAAGGTGGGGATGTTTAAACTTTTTCTTTTTTTTCTTACATCAATTCATAGATCAATTATGTGACTAAATTTAATCTTAAATAGTCTTTAACCCACATCATTTATGTTGACCACCTACCAAGGATAAAACTTTGACTAACACCTGGATCTGTTGTAATGTAACAAAAAGCTCCAAAACGTAATTCTGTGTGCACGAACATGCAGAGCAGCACAAAAAACAAACTGGGGTCACTTCTCTGACTGTTTGATTTACAGAAATCCAATATTTCCTCTTACTGAGGAGACATTTATCATTCCCCCCTCTTCCATTAATGATAAAATCTGTTTTTTTGGCAGCCAGATGCTCTTATGTTTTCTCTACAATATTATTTACCATCTACATCTGCAGTTTGGAGGCTGTGTGGAAAGGTGTTTTGTGGGAGTTATGGTGCCTTGTGGAAACAATATTCTAAACTTCGGAGAGCTCCTGCTCGTTGTGGTGCAGGTCTCAAGCATTTGCACAGGGCATTTGTATCAACAGTCATTAGTTTATGTTTTGAAAAAGGTCTTCAAGCTGAAATATTTGTCAGTCGAATAATACTTGCATCTGCTGCAAAGCCCTGATTGAACTTGTGGTTTTGTATTGCACAATGAAACATTTTGTGGTGTGTGCAAAGGAGGTGCACTTACAAATAATTCTACCGACTGCTAAAATCAACGTCCTGTTGTATTATTATCTTTTTCTTTATTCTTTAAAATTGCTTTCTAATGGGAATTCAAAACCACACTCTCCCTGATCTGGATTTAATCCACGAGTCAAAAGAGAATATTTTCCTTTGTGTAAGATACAGATGTTTGCTATTCCAAGCTCAAATCAAGAAAGATGAAGTTAGCGGTAACAACGCTGCCGTAGATAACATATTTCTACTTTTCGTTCATGTAGCATATCATCTGTAATTTGCGACCACAACTCTTAATTTTGCACCCCGATTCAGTACAGTACCTTATATTTAGTTTCATGACCGAGTTTTGTTTTGGAATTGCAATGATTACTTCCTTGAAAATAGCTTTAAAACTGTTCACTGATTAGCACCGATGGTCTTCAGATGATTTCTGGTGTGGCAGTTTGCGGAGATCACAGATCTTTCAGCAGTCAACAGGTAGTCATCCTCAACAAGTCAACATCTGTTATTAATAAGCACCATACTGTTATTGCTCTGTCTGTGGTCTTTATCTGCCCGTCGTCCCAAAGTTGAGTAGAAATGTTTTAGAGCTTTGCAGCCATGTCTCAATGAAAAAAATAAATGACCCTCCGGAT